TATATATATATATATATATATATATATAATTATTAAAGTTTTCACAGCAAAAAGATTGAACCATGAACTGAAGGTAGACATTTTTTAAAATTGATACTAAAATTGGTAAAAAAAAAAAAAAAAAAATGAGCTATCAATCTGAGAACAGAAGGCATGCAGACGATTATCTATAACAGGTTTTTCAGCAAAATTTTGAATATGTTGATAATTTAGATGCATTAGAAATTAATGTGTGAAATATGATATAGTAGGCTTTTTAGGGTTAGGAAAGATAACCTGTAAAATGTAGGGACTGGAGAACAGTATAAATGGTTTCTGAAAACCATTGGGAAAAAATTATGTGTACAAGTGTGTACTTGTTTTTAAGTACCTGGTCTTTGTTTGCCAAGTGAATGGTGGGGTTCTAGAGGTTTATGAGGGGGAACAAAAGAATAAAAAGGGATGAGATTATTACAGATAATTGGTGTTGTTGCAGGATAGAAATAAGACTACAGAATAATATGCATCTTTGAAAGTTGCATAAACAGTTGTACAGCTTCACTGAACTTTTTGCTTTGCCTAAAGTTTGATGCTTGTGACATGATTACGCCCTGATACCTTTGCTCGAGCACTGTCAGATTTCAGTGGGCTGTTTAACAGAGGATCACAAACTGTACATTTCTGTGTGTAAAGCACATATGAATTGTTCTGTCTGAAGGATCATTGTCGAGATGGAATAAATTATTATTCCCATTATTCTTCCAGTCAGTCTGTGAAGCGGACAAAGAACCACTTCAGCGGATATAAACTATAAACTATGGATATAAACTAGCAGAATGTCAGTATCTGAACTGTTGTAAAACAAATACAGTTAAATATTGTTTCAGAAGCAGCACTTCCTCCTGCTTAGTCAGGCTGTCTTACCACCAAACATTACAAAGCCCTCGGCTCCCAAGAGGTATTAAAGGGATAGTTCACTCAAAAATGAACATTTTGTCTTACTTTACACCCTCATGTTGTTGGCACATTCTTCAAAATCTTTCTTCAAACGAAAGTCACACAGGTTTGGAACAGCATAACAGAATTTTCATTTTTGGAGAAACTATCCCTTTAAGGTGTGTATAAATTTGCTCTGTTTTACAATATCAATCAAACGTTTGGAATCATTAAGATTTTTTTGAAAGAAGTCTTTCAAATGGATTAATTTGATCAAATATACAGTAGAAACAATAATATTCAAAAATATGATTGCAATTAAAAAACTGTTTTCTTTTTTTAATATATTTTAAAATGTAACTTCCACAGACTTCCACTGATTTCCACAATTATGGATTTCTGAAAATGTCCTTTCATGCCGTGTGTAATACAGCTCTAAGTGAATGAAAACATCCTGCTAAGTTTTAAATCTGAAAGTGCACAGTGTATAAAGTTATTGTCTCTCAAAAGAAAGAGACGACTCTGAATCATTGAAACCAGTCATTTTTAAAACAAATCCCAAGCCGTTTCATGTTGACCTCAACATGAAACATTAGCATATTGCCCGCCCACTTGTTGGTCTTTTTGCCTTGGTCTGAATGAAAATGCAAGTTCATTCTTTGCCACTAGGTGCCGCTTTTGGAGCGGTAAAAATAGAGGTTTCTCCGATAACGCTGTACACAAAGCAGCACTGCGCTCACAAACGCTGCTTTATTAGGCATTACAGGCAGGATGAAATGTAAATTAAATCTACCAATCGGACCAATCACCGCAGATTAGCGTCACGCAAAGGAGGGGTTTGGAAAAATGAATCGTTGAGCGAATCGTTTGGGAGTCGTTGAGCAAATAAGGTAAAAATTTATACATATTATAAGACAATGAAAGTGTTTTTTGACCTTGCATGCATGTCAACCTGTTGTTGGGGACTCCCAAAACCAATATACGAACCTTTCATTACCTATAATAGGGCCACTTTAAGCAGCAACATTTTTTTAACATTTATAATAGTAAGAAATGTTTTCAAGCATCTAGCCAATAATGATTTCTGAGAGATGTCTGACTTCTGAGACAAGATCATGTGACATTTGGCTGCTTAAAATTAAGCTTTGCCATCACAGGAATAAATCGCATTTTATATTAAAATAGAAACAGTTATTTTAAAAGGAGACCTATTATGTCCCTTTTTATGATGTAGCCGTTCCCTTTACAAACCTCACAGATCATTTATTATTCCATGCTGAAAATGCCAATTTTGAACAGAAGGAAAAACATGCTGTTTTCGTGCATGTCTCTTTAAATGCAAAGGAGCTGCTGCTTACTGCCCCCTTTTCCAGAAGAGGGCTGTGTTTTTACAGCTCTTACCTCGGATACTCTGCCAAAACAAAACATCTGTTTGGTTTTGATTATCATGTCTATCACGCTCATGTGACATTGCAGTTTTTCAACATTGTGAAAGCTTATTATTTACCTGCGTTTTAAAGCCATATCAGTTTCAGCGCGGGTTTTCCGAGAATGCGGTTGTGAGTCCTGAAAATGTACGGGTGTGAGTTCGGTTACAGGATGCGGTTGTCACACCTGTAAATAACTGTACTGTGTGTGAACCTAACCGTATTAAGGACTCAAATACAGGACTGACAACCGTATTCTGCTGCTGTGTGAATGTGGCCAGACAGCACATCGTGTGAGTACTAAAACCAAGTTCTCTTCCGTGTCTTATTGAGCTTCAACTGTCAAATACACACGAGGTTATGTCAAAAATACACAAATTTCAACTAAACACAGTCGGTAATGTCTGTGAACGCAAACAGCTGGGAAGGAAATCGCATGCTTATATTAGATCTGCGTGACAGCAGCTTAACGTACTGCTGTCTATGCTGTTAATTTGAATCAAATAAAACAAACAGAAACTTGACTGAATAAATTTAGTAGCTTTATAAGAATAAATTTCTTACTTGAATGCTGATTTTAAATGGTCTAGCGAGAAGATAATCATGGCAAACTGTGTACAGCTCACACAGGGGAGGAGCTATGCTAATACGGCAAAGATCATTACCAGTCGTAGGCAGGGCATGTTCCATGTGTCGTCACTAGCTGCATTTGCATTACCCTTCAAATTGTATACGCCCAATGGAAACAAGTCAATTTTGCAAAAACTCCCATATATGCGCAAAAAAGTTGTTGTTTTTTTTCAGGCCATTTGAAAAAGGAATATTTGGTAGTTTTTTAGGCCATTTGAAAAAGTAATATTTCACAAAACTGCAATTGATTTTCGCATTTTCAGGTCACCTGACTTACAAAAAAGTCACATGATCATTCTTTGACTTATCCCGGGAGGAAAAAAATTATGATTTATTCGCATAACATCGGTTAATAGAAACACTGTCATTTCGCAATATTTGTTTAATCAACATTTATAAAATATTGCAAAAGTTTTGCGCAAATCTGTAATGGAAACCAGGCTACTTTGGAGTACATTCCTGAACAGCTCATTTTGAAACACAGTTTCTCATTTATGGGGAAAATAGCAAACAGAGTTGATTCATTTTTACCACAGTAGGGTGGTTGTGTACACACTCTGCGGATACATAATTATGAACAAAAACAATATAAAAGTGAATTTTACAACTAAAATTAGGATAGAATTCAAAGCCTGTTCCTTTTGCACACTAAACAAACCGTTACCATAAGACTGATACAGTGTACACTCTTAGATCAGAAAAAAAAGTGGTGCATGGCCCTCTTGAACACTATGACCCATTTATATTTCAGCTTTTCAAAAAGATGGGCAGTGGTTTGAGAGATGCCTCGCAGGGATTGTTAACTGGGTGTCGGGAGTGGAGTTTGGGCAGCTCAGCAGAGTGAGAGTAATAGGAATGGTGTGATGGATGTGGAGACATGGAATGTGAAGATGCGCTGCTCCAGCCCTCCACAGCCTCTTATAAAACCGGATTCGGAATTCTAGGCAAAACAGCAGAATTCCAGACTGCAGCGGGGAAATCAAGCAATCAACAGACAATTCAACTGGCACACATATGCTGTACAGTGGCTACATTGTCTCTACATATCTTATTTAATACTTTCCTTCTTAACAGAAAAAAGGAGCTCCTGAGGGACGTTGGAAATTTTTCACTTTCTTGGAATGTGACCAGATGACAAAAACGTGCAGCTGATGAGGTGTCAAATGAAGTAAACAATGGTGTTAGAAAGAGTTTGAATGTCTGAACTGACGGGAAGTGTTTTCCTTTACTGGTCCTGTCTAAGTGCGGTCAGATTCTTGGGGGGCCCCCCTCAACCGAGAATGCTGTGCAAACAGAATCAGTTTACCCTTTTTCAGATTACAGATTTTGCAGGATAGACCATAATAGGGATGTAAATAACATGATTTTAGTGTGAAAACATTGCGTACTAACTAATGTTTCTTAAAAATAAATAAAAAAGAAAATCTTTTTACTTGAGCTTTTAATTAGTAATGGCTTCTGAAAATTCTTTTTGCAATTATTTCTTAGTTTCGGTATCCATTTTTAAATTTTTACTTAATGTATATTCATTTTTTTTAATAATATGAAGTCAGTCTCATTTTTAATATTATATAATCATAATCATATATATATATATATATATATATATATATATATATATATATATATATATATAACAAAAAATATAAAAAAAAGTATAAATATATATATATATATATATATACACTGAACAAAATTATAAACGCAACACTTTTGTTTTTGCCCCCATTTTTCATGAGCTGAACTCAAAGATCTAAGACTTTTTCTATGTACACAAAAGGCCTATTTCTCTCAAATATTTTTCACAAATCTGTCTAAATCTGTGTTAGTGAGCACTTCTCCTTTGCTGAGACAATCCATCCACCTCACAGGTGTGGCATATCAAGATGCTGATTAGACAGCATGATTATTGCGCAGGTGTGCCTTAGGATGGCCACAATAAAAGGCCACTCTAAAATGAATCAAAATGCTGTCATTGAGCTTAACTTGTATTGAATGCAGAGAATTCCATTATCGCTACAGTATAAAGGCCCACTTTGATGGGTGGCTTAGCAAACCAAGCGGACATTGGCAGGTGCTCACTTCAAGGATTAATGTCTCAGGCAATTGTTTCAGCTATTTTAGGGAACTTATTGGGCCAGGTTTACTGCTGGACTGTGCTTAGGGATTTCCTAGGGAAAAAGTGTAACATGAATGGGCAGTGACAGGGCAGATAACTCCCCCATCACCCCTGCCACAATTCTGGCTCAGATTTCTCTCCAACCTTGAGTTTTGTATGCTTTCAAGGTGAAAGTGCTGTTTTACTTTTCCAGAATAATGAGATGTTTTAAACAGCAAAATATGGGTCAGATGAACAGAAAAACACTTATATTTGTGAGTGGCCTTGAATGATGTAGCTTGCAACCAAAACTAGCAACAAAGAGCAGGAACTACAGAAGACAGAAACAAAGACATATGGAGAACATTATTGTATGCAAAAAAATCAACGTGCCTTTTTAATCAGGGCACAAGAAAAATAAACCAAGAGGTGGACCAGAAAGAAACCTGGGTCTTTTTTCCAATCTGCAAGCACTCATTGTATTGAAAGCAGACTAAAGTGAACTTAACCTGCAAAACCGTGAAACTATTATTGACTACAACAGCCATTGACTTTCACAGGACTAAATCCTTTTCCTGTGCCATCTTATAACCAGGTCATAATCATAACTACAAATACAAAAGATTAGGGATTAAACAGCTTTGTTTCTGTAGTGCTCTGCTTGCCACCTGTTTGATCTGAATCTCAGCCATGTTTGTGCATTTCTTTTAGGTGTGGGACACTGAACTGGAGCGGGGTGCTCAGGAATGGGCAGAGACCTGCCTGTGGGAACATGGCCCAACTGGCCTGCTGCCTCAGATTGGTCAGAACCTGGGAGTGCACTGGGGAAGGTCTGAATGTGCTTTGGTGTTTTATAGCAATGTGAGCTTACTAGTAAGTTTCTGTCTATTATTATCAGTGTAAAAACAGTTGTGCTGTTTAATTTTTTTATGGAAACTGTGATGCTTTTTTCAGGATTCTACTTTTTTAACAATGTATGTCTTTTCTGTTACTGTTGATACATTTAATGCATTCAGTAAAATATTAATTTCTTCAAAAAATCTTACTGACCCCAGAATGGTAGTGTATGACTAACATGTATTTAAATTATATATTTACATTGGTCTCAGTGTCAGATGGCACACCCAAAGACCACCCTCATGCTGTTCACTGACCGCTTGATGCATATTGCATATAAAACTGGAAATTACTATTTAGATCTGGCCAGTTGGCTGGCTTTACACAACTTCGGTCAGTAAGGACACACAGTATTTTTTTTTATGTTTTTAATCAGTCCACCTGGAAATGAAGTCATGTTTACAAAGTACCATGCTGATACAGTGAGTGGTTTTGAAGAACGTTTGAAGTTAGTGTCATCAGATTTTAAAAGATACTGGCACTTGAGGGACTTTCTAGCAATGGTTTGAGGCACCTTTTAGCAATTTAAGTACATCTAGATATCTAAGTATGTTCATATTTGTTTTGTTTTGAGTTATGTCTGTGAGTCTACCATGCTAGACTATTATTGTGATGTCTTCTATTTCAAATATACTTTAAATAACACATAAAACAAAGACCTATTTCTATTCTATTTCAAATAAATGCTGTTCTTTTGAACTTTCTGTTCATCAAAGAATCCTGAAAAAGTATCATTATTTCCACAAAAATATTAAGTAGTGTTTTCAACAATGATAATAATAAGAAATGTTTCTTGTGAGCACCAAATTAGCATATTAGTGTGATTTCTAAAGGATGTGACACTGAAGACTGGAGTAATGGCTGCTGGAGTAAATTTAGCCTTGCCATTACAGGAATAAATTACATTTTAAAATATATTAAAATAGAAAACTTGATTGTAAAAAATATTTCACAATATTACTGTTTACTGTATTTTAATCAAATAAATGCAACCTTTGTGAGCATAAGACACTTCTTTTAAAAACTTGAAAAATAAAATTACCCCAAAATTTTGAACAATATTGTACATGTCAACTAACCTTTGACTTTATACTGCATTAGACAATGCATTAAATTTAGGCTATTACTAATTATGTTTTTTTAATGTTCAACCCAGATATCGTCCACCTACTTCTCATCCACAAGCCTGGTATGATGAGGTCAAAGACTACTCGTTCCCATACCCCCAGGAATGTAACCCTCACTGCCCTTTTAAGTGCAGTGGTCCAGTCTGTACCCACTACACTCAGGTAGATATACAGTAATAACATGCCTCATAAGCACATCACATGTGTATTTATGTGCAAACCCATTAACGGATTTGACAGATCTGAAAACAATTCTGAAATTTATGGGATGTCAGTGAAGGAATTTTAATACCAATGCAATATGTGCTCTCGTTCTGGTTGTCAGCACTTCAGCTGCAGCCTTTTTAAATAGTTTGGAGTCTAACCAGGGCTTTTGGAGAACACCAGACAAGAAAGCATTGAAGCGCTTCAGTCTGCTACCAGGGAACATGAGTGGCAATATCTGTGTGCCTTTTTGACAATGATTCTTAAATGTTAGAAGGCAGATGTAATGACTGTAAATCATGAAGTAGCATATTAAAACTAAAGAGGTCTCAAGACAGAGCCTTGTGGGACCTCACAAATTTACCTGAGCAGTGATCCCAAATGGCCACAAAATATTTCTACTACTGAACAGTTAAAGATTACCAAACCACCAAACATTTAAAGCCTAATTTAAAGTGAAAATTCACCCAAAATTAAAAATCTGTAATTAACACAAAAGGACAATTCACACAACTCTTTTCCATACAAATAATTGTGACCATGATCTTATTCAGTTAAGCTACAAAAAAAGAACAGAAACACCACTAAGATTATTTTTTAAGAAAACTCATTAAATACTTGCGCACAATATAGTTTTGTTTCAAAATGGACAGTGATACTTGTGTTTTCTTTTGTTGTTGTGTGTTCTTTTTGAGCTTGGGGTCATTGTATGGCCATGAGAGATAACCCATGCAAAAAGATTTGTATATAGTGTAAATTCCTTCTGTTAAAGGTAATGCCTAAGGTAATTAAAGGATAGATTTATTTTAGGCAATTATAGTTGATTGACTGTTTTGCTTCCTTGCTGGTTCCAGCTTGTTTGGGCAACTAGTAGTCGAATTGGCTGTGCGATCAATGTGTGCTACAACATGAATGTGTGGGGCCAGATCTGGGCAAAAGCCGTTTATCTTGTGTGCAACTACTCACCAAAGTGAGTTACTTATTTATTGTTCTTCATTTATTATTAAATAATGCACTCATTCTCTGTCATTTATATTATGATAGCTTGTCAATGTTGTCTGTCCTTGTGTGTGTTTCGTCCTGTGCAGAGGTAACTGGTGGGGATATGCCCCATATAAGCACGGCACCCCTTGCTCTGCCTGTCCACCCAGCTATGGAGGATTGTGCAGAGAAAACCTCTGTTATAAAGGTTTGTTATGTGATTTTAAGGCAGTAGCTTCCAACATTGTCCCATACACTACTGTTCAAAGGTTTGGGGTCAATATGATTTTTTTTAAAGAAATTAATACTGTTATTCAGTATATTAAAATAAAAAGCGGTTTTAGATTGTAGTAATATGAAGAAAATATTATTGTTTTCATTGTATGGTTGATCACATAAATGCAGCCTAAGTGAGCATAAGAGACTTAAACATGAAAACAGTCTTACCGATCCCAAACTTTTGAATAGTAATGTATATTAGTGCTGGGCAATGATTAAATTTTTTTAATCGCGATTAATCGCATGATTTTGTATGTGTATACAGAGGCAGTGAGCAACGGACTTTCATAATATATATATATATATATATATATATATATATAT